TGTTTACTACCTAATAATCTTATTTCATCTTTGCAAGTGAATAGAATGAGAATTAATGTTTGTATTGCTACTGACCTTGATTGATATCACAAAGTGACCTCCTGTTTTGAGGAAGTATGATGCATTCAAAGCCAAGATCCTAGCCTGAGAAATTTTCAAATGCAAAGGAAATTTCATAGAACAATTACAAACAAATTGTGATGATAATAGACGCAACCCGAAAGCTGAATGACTTTATAAAGTCTAAAGAGTAGAATGGTCGCTGAAAGATGCGTTTTAGTAGAAATTTTCAATTGAACCAAACCCAAACAACCACTACAAAATCTGAACTGAAAACAGAGAAAGAAAAAAACTGATTCAAGTTTATATAAAAACCAAAACAGTACAAGGAAACTGTAGAACCGAAAAATCAAAACTGAATACTAGTAAAAAATCAAGAAATAAGGAAATATCTTAAGCATCAGAAACTTGGAGTTTTGCATCACCCATGATGTTCTGAAGGGGAATCCAAGTAAGATCATCATTTGCAATTATCAAAACACCATTTTAAAAGAAAAGCTTAAATATATAGCTATGCAGTAAAGCTCTGAGGCAAATCTGAAAAACTTTCTGATATTCATTGTAATAAGTATACAAAAGAAGCAAACCTGATCTGGCTGAGCAACATCAGAGAAGACAACATCAACCATGCCTACAAGCATTCTGTACTTAGCAGGGTGTCTAGCATCTTCGATGATTGGAATAACATTAGTTCTCTTCTTTGCCATGTTCACCAAATCCCTACCACTTCTATGAGAAAACTCAACAGCGTAAACACATCCCTCCTACCAAACCCACAGAGGTAAAGTATAAGCAACCACAAACAACACATCTAACCATAAAATGTTATAAGGCCTAAGTTTTGCTTACAGGGCCAACAAGATCAGAAACATGAGAGACTGTGGTTCCAGAAGCAGCACCAAGGTATAGAACTTTAGCACCAGGTTTCTACATAGATTGGAGAGAAAAATCAATTTCTACATCAATTCTCAAAACAGATTCAATAAGATTCACACAAAATGGAACTTACAATCCATATGTTATCAACACCACCGAGAATAGCAGCTGCCAACTTAGAACGGAAAGGATTCCAAACTCTGTATTCAACCTTAGTTCCATCTTCATTCTGCAGATTCAATCACAAAAAAAAACCATTAAGAATATCATCCTAA